CTGGGGACCGTTTTTCACGCTTAACAACCGTGGTCGCGAGATTCAAATTCGGGCGCTTGGCAAAGGGCTCGTATTTATGACGGTCGCAGCAGCACCGGGGGGGTGCGTGTGTGTGCCCCGCAAGCAACCTTTCGCGACCTCCCGACAACGACCATGTGACTCACTTAACCATGGCAGGGATTCCCTTGACAAGGCTGGCGAGAAAGGGTGCGAAACGGGGGTGGGGGGAGGCGAAGCTCATTTAACCGGTTTCTCGCTTAGCAAACGGAAAGGTTGGGCTGAGCTGTGGTCGTAAGTCGAGGACTACCTGCATGCCTTCTTGCCTGACTAGAGCACTGGAATCACTCACGTCGTTGGTGGGGGAAGTCGGTGGGTCGTCTGAGGCCAACTCCTTCTTTTTTTTCTTGTACTTCCTAGGCTGGACTGGATCTTCCCCCATAATGAGCTCTCTGGTTCAGGAAGAGAGAAAAGACGATCCTAGTCCCCTCCTGCCACTAAGGCCCACGGCTGAGCTGGCACGACTACAATCAGATATCGGTTGGAAGGGGCGTCGGAGGTCTTCTAGTCCAACCCCCCCCCCTGCTCAAACAGGAAGACCCTCTGTCATTCCAGACAAAATGGCTGTCCAGGAAGACCCTCTGTCATTCCAGACAAAATGGCTGCCCGGTCTCTCCTTAAAGGCCTTCCAGGGATGGAGCGTCCACAACTTCTGGTGGCAAGCAGTTCCATGGCTTAAATTGTCCTCCCTGCTAGGAAGTTCCTCCTTAATTCCAGGTTGCTTCTCTCCTGGATGAGTTTCCATCCGCTGTTTCTTGCCTTCAGAAGTTGTAAATGCTCCATCACTGGAAGTTTTTAAGAAGAGACCGGACGGCCATTTGTCTGAAGTGGTGTAGGGTCTCCTTGCCTGAGCCAGGGAGTTGGACTACTAAAAGACCTCCAAAATCCTTCCAACTCCGTTATTCTATTCTGTTCTGTTCTGTTCCATATACAGTGGAACCCCGGGTCACGAATGCTTCTGTTCACGGACCAAATTGGGTGGTGAACAAAAACATCCACGCGATTTTTGAATCGGGGCCAGGATTCAAAAATCGGGTGGTGAACAAAATCGGCGTGGAAAGATTCCCTTTTCGCGCCAATTTCCCCTTCGACGCCTTTTTTTTTTCTTTTCTGCACACACGTGCAGTGGGTCGCGCTATTGGACATGACCAAAATCAGGTCACAAACGGAGTCCGGGAATGGATTGCGGTTGCGATCCGAGGCTCCACTGTATTCTGTTCTGTTCTGTTCTATTTACAGACAGGAGGTTGTACAACTTGCCTCGTGGTGTGACCGGAACAATCAGGAACTGAACACACTCAAACCCGTAGAAATGGTGGTAGACTTTAGGAGAAACCCTCCCATGCTACCACCTCTTACAATACTAGACAACACAGTATCAACAGTAGAGACCTTCAAATTTCTAGGTTCTACTATATCACAAGACTTCAAATGGACACCTAACCTCAAAAAGGTCATCAAAAAAGCACAACAAAGAATGTTCCTTCTGCGCCAACTCAGAAAGCTCAAACCGCCCAAGGAGCTGCTGATCCAGTTCTACAGAGGAATTATGGAGTCTGTCATCTGCACCTCTATTACTGTCTGGTTTGGTTCTGCAACCCAACGGGACAGACCAGAGGATAATTAGGACTGCAGAAAAAACAATTACTACCAACCTGCCTTCCATGGAGGACCTGTATCCTGCACGAGTCAAAAAGAGGGCTGTGAAAATATCTACAGACCCCTCACATCCTGGACATAAACTGTTTCAATTCCCACCCTCAAAACGACGCTCTAGAGCCCTACACACCAGAACAACTAGACACAAGGAGAGTTTTTTCCCGAAAGCCATCACTCTGCTAAACAAATAATTCCCTCA